TCTCCCTTTATTTAGCACAATTGCTACATACATACATACATACATACATACATGTGTGTGTGTGTGTGTGTATATATATATACACATACACACACACACATATATATATGCTGGTCTTGTAAGATTGAGATTGTCTTGGCAACGTTTCAGTGAGGTCTCACTCGCCATCTTCAGGCTGGTGTTTTCGGCTTAAATATATTTAGTTTTTTAGTTTTATTTTGCTTTTATTTTTTTCTTCTTTCGTTGTAAGCCGCCCGGAGTCCACCGGGATTGGGCGGCCTATAAATTTAATAAATGAAATGAAATGAAATAGTTAGTCCTTGACTTACGACCACAATTTAGCCCAGAATTTATGTTGCGGAGTGAAAAATTTGTTAACTGAGTTTTGCCTCATTTTACGACTTTTCTTGCTAAGTGAATCGTTGCAGTTGTTAAATTAGTAACCCGGTTGTTAAGTGAGCCTGGCCTCATTAACTTTGCTGATCAGAAGATCGCAAAAGAGACTCTGCCACCGTCATAAATGCGAGTCAGTTGCCAAACGTCAGAACCGTGATCGTGGCCATGCTGCAACAGAGGTCATAAGTGTGGGGAAAAAAGTCACTTTTTTTCCTGTGAGGTTGTAACTTTCAGTGGTCGCCAAATGAACCGTCGCAAGTCGAGGATGACTTGCATCAGCCAACGCCGCTTTTAAAATGCTGAATCCTGCCTCTCTTTTTTCAGAGCCCCAACTTGATGAGATGAAAGTCAAAACGAAGCAATTCCAGTTTGAGGGTTGCACGTTTACCGTCACGCGGGGTGATTACAGCCCGATTCTGCAGAGGGTTGTGGAGAATTTGCAGAAAGCGCAGGTAAGGGACGAGCGGAATGGGTTTTCTGATGATCTGGGTTAGCAGCTGTCTCAAGATCTCAATCTTGTAAGCTTGTGGGTCCTTCTGCAAACCCACCAGGTCTCCAAAGAGTCCCCCAGCTAGTATGCTTTAAAAGGGATGGACTTCAACTCCCAGAATCCCCCAGCCAGCATGCTTTTAAAGGGATGAACTTCAACTCCCAGAATCCCCCAGCCAGTATGCTTTAAGATGGGTGGGCCTCAACTCCCAGAATTCCCTGGCCAGCATCAATTCTGACTAGAGCATTCTGGGAGTTGAAGTCCACACATCTTAAAATGTTTAAGGTTGGGATGGGTGGACTTCAACTCCCAGAACCCCCCAGCTAGTATGCTTTAAGATGGGTGGACTTCAACTCCCCAAATTCCCCAGCCAGCATGTTTTAAAAGAGATGGACTTCAACTCCCAGAGTCCCCCAGTCAGCATGCTTTAAAAGGGATGAACTTCAACTCCCAGAATTCCCTAGTCTGCATGCTTTAAGATGGGTGGACTTCAACTCCCAGAATTCCCCAGTCAGCATGCTTTAAAAGGGATGGACTTCAACTCCCAGAATTCCCCAGCCAGCTTGCTTTAAGATGGGTGGACTTCAACTCCCAGAATTCCCTAGACAGCATCAATTCTGACTTGAGCATTCTGGGAGTTGAAGTCCACCCATCTTAAAAGGTCTAACTTAGAGAAGCAGTTCCCAGCAGCCTCTCTGTTTCTTCACCAGCAACATACCGCTAGGCCCGTTCAGACGGAGATGTTGGAGCACTACGCAACCAGCTTCAGGCAAGGCTCCATCCCATCCCACAAAGAGGGGTCTCGCTGCTGGATTCGCGACAAAAGTCCCATCGTGGAAAGGTGAGCTTTGAACTTAGGTGACCTTGGAAAGAAATCGATGTCCTTCCTTGGGATGAGATGGGATAATTGCTTAATTCTCGAAATTTCATGTCAGCTTGTGAATTTATCATTACTTCTTAAGTTAGTTACCATTCAAAGTTGCGACGGCACTGAAAAAAGTGACTTATGACCATTTTTCACACTTGCATCATCCCTATGGTCACATGATCAATATTCAGATGCTTGGTAACTGGTTCATACTTATGACGAATGCAGCATCCCAGGGTCATGTGATCCCCTCTTGCGACGATAAAGTCCATGGGAACCCATATTCACTTAACTGTGTTACTAACTTAACAAATGTAATGATTCACTTGACTGCAGCAAGAAATGTTGTAAAATAGGACAAACTTAACAAATGTTTCACCCTACCAACATAAACCTTGGACACAATTGGGGTCATAACTTGAGGACTACCTGTAATAGGATAGACGGCCATTATCAGACCTGAAAATAAGATGAATAAAAATTAAATTAAAATTGAATTTAAGAAATGGAATGAAGTTAAAAAAAAATGAAATTCAATCAAAAAATGCATGCAAAATGAAATTAAAACAAAAAAAAATGCCATGAAAGAACAATCGAAGTGAAATGAATTTAAAAAAAATGAAATGAAATTAAAAAGCAAAATTCAGTAAAAAGGCAAAGCGAAATGAAAAAAAAGGTAATGAACTAAAAATTGAAATTGGAAAGTGAAATTCAATCAAAATGCCATCAAAATGAAGTGAAAAGGAAATAAAAATTGAAATAAAAAAAGGAAATAAATAAAATGAAACAAAATTTAAACAAAATGAAAAAATAAATAAAATGAAACAAAATTAAATGAAACTATGGGAAAAAAATAAAATGAAATAGTCTTGCATATATACGTCTGTTGCAGAGGTGGGTTCCTACCAGTTCGCCCCTGTTCGGTAGAACCGGTTCGTCAAATCTACCGAACCGGTTAGAAGAGGTTCCACCTGTGGACCCGGAAAGCAGGCCACACCTAAAGAAGAGGTTTCAAAA